AATTTCTTTTTTACAATTAAATTACCAAAAATCTAATATTGAAATATGATTGAATTGAAATAAATAAGTTAAAAATAACAAAAATTTTGTAGTTTATTTAATTAAAAATAATGTACTGTCCAAAAATAAGTATAGTAATGTTATGTACTTCTTATTTTCAATAATAAATAAAATTTTGTTATTATTTCATATTGAAAAATTGAAAAATATTGATAGATTCAATAATAACTAAAAATTCAGTTAGGTAACTAGCTTTATTATCTTAATAAAAGTTATTTATTTCATAAAATTATGACTAAAAATAATATGTTTATTATTAGTTAAATATTTTTATTTAAAGTTTTATTATGTAAAAAAATGTTATTTTTTATCAAAAAACTACTTTTTTTTGTATTCAAATGAGAATTACTTGAAAAATTGATCTTACAACCTTAGAAAATCTTTCTTCTCATACAAAATTACATGTATTTTTTGCTATGGTGGCTGTCACCTATAAACAACAATAGTCCGAAATTTTGAAATTTATTTATTTATATTGTGTAACTTATGTTTTAAAGTACTTTGTCAAAATATTAATTGCCGCGTGAGCGGCAAAATTTTTTTTTTTGCCATATTACATGGAATTCTTGTGGATTTCCATGGAATTTTTGTAAAATCCATAAAAATTACATGAAAACTAGTCCGAAATTTTATATTTTTATTATTGCTACTTATTAAAATTATCCAACTTTAACCCATAATATTAATTAAAATTCTTATTAAATTCTATAAAATAATCCGATAGAAATGTTCAGTACATGTTGCTATATCATTTTATCAGTTTAGTTTTTTCTTTTTACTATTCAATTTACAATTTATAAAAATTTGAAGTCACTTAATATTAGTGTGGTTTATAGGTGACAGCCACTATATTAGAATTATATATTTATCCATACTTTCAAAAAAATCTCAAAAATGTTAGTTTTCTAATGTAAATTTTATATATATGTGAAGAAAAAAAATACCATAAAGTCCCGATTATAAGCACCCCAAATATAAGCACCCCCAGATTTTTATATTACCCGAAAGTAAGCATCCTTGACCAACACTATGATAATTTTAGCCAATACTACAATATACCAAATATATAAATTTACCCAAATATAAGCACCCCTATAACAAAAAAAAGTTGCTTATATTCGGGACTTTACGGTAATTGTAAAAATGGAAAATGAAAAATTGGTATTAAAAATTTGTAGAAATATATGAAATTACTTAATTTGTGTAGAAGTTGTATATTATTAAAATTAATGGTTAGTTATAAAATGATAATATTCAGCCAAAAATAGTAAATGTTGAACTAATAAAATATTTAAGATCAATATGAATTTTTTTTGGCTGGATGTTGTTGGCTGAAAATTTACTATACCTTCGGCTGAATTTTTTGGCTAAACTATACTATTATCAAATTTTGCAGTTTTTTACAAATCTGCACCCTAAAAAATTTTCTGATAATATAAAAAATAAACTTATATTGTACTTAAATTTTAATTTAAATATATTATAAGAATATTTTAAATATATAAAAATACATTTATCTTGTATTTAAATTTTAATTTAAATATATTTTAAGTATATTTTAAATATAATTTAAGTACTTGAGCAAAAATAATTATATTTTAAAAGTATTTTAAGCATATTTAGGTATATTATAAGTATATCACAAATTAAAATTGATATTTATTTTAAGTATATTTTAATAAAATTTTAAGTATATTTTAAGTATAAAGGTTTTTTATAAGGTAAATAGCTTAACTGATACATTTAGAATTTTATTTGTACTATAACAGACTTAATTAATAATTAGTATTTTGATTTTTCAAAAATTTTTATAATAGACATATTATTGGATAAATTTATTGCCATATTTTTAGGATCCTGCCTACTATTAATCTTACCTTAAGATTTGCTTAAATTCTATTGGTTAATTAATTAAAAAGAAAAAAATCATAATAATATAACATAAAATTTTCTTTTATAATGGGATCTTTAAAGAGTTTATATGTAAACTTTATCTTAAGTCATAAGGTGACCTATTTTATTTAATAATAGATGGAGTTCTATATTCTTGTTAGCTAACTTTTTTTCTATGGTTTATTTGAACTTTAACTTCAATAAGTTTTTTCAAGAGTTAGTAAAAACATAAAGTATATGAAATATTTGTTATTGTTTATTCCAAGTTCTTTCAGTTTTTTTTATATGTTTTTTTAATAGCTATAAATTTGTTAAAAGCATTTTTGGAAAAACATTTAAAATTTTGATATATATCAAAAAATATTAGTATTTTAAAGGCTTAATAATCCTACTTTAAAATTTTCTTAGATAATATAAACTATGCGATTAATGGTAAAAGTTTTTTGTTTTTAATACAATAAAAAATATTATAAAATATATATACTATATAATAATTTTATAAATGCCTTTAAAGTTTAAATGTTTAAATTATTTTAGTTTAGTCAATTAACTAAGTATTTTAGTTTTGCTTAGAATTACTAGTTGTATCATTATTTTTAATATAAATAATATAACCATATAAATAACAGGTTAACTTTTTTTTTCAGAATAATAATTATATTTTATAATACTTAATTTTCAGATTTTATATATATTTATTTTTCTTATTTGTATAAATGTATCTATAAAAAAAATAAAAAAAATTAATAAATAAATATATATATATAATAATAATGAAAAATTTTTTGATAGGAAATCCTTATCAGTAGCTAGAGAAGATTCTTTATTAATGATCTTTATTAATTATAAGATTTTTGGAATTCCTAAGGATTTGCAGTTCTGTATCCCAAAAAATTTACTGAGAAAGTTAAAAATTTTAATATTTAAAGTAGTATTATAGCCTACAGATCGCTTACAATATATTGTAATTATTACTGGTAAAATTTAGCAATATTTTTTTTAATTAATTTATAAATAAATTATATTGTTAATTAATTAAATATTTAAAGAAATCTATATTTGTTTGTACAGTCTAATCCCAATATACTGATATTTGATATACTGATATACTATCAAAGAATTTTATTTTCCCTCTATATGTAAGAACTATATAAATATCACTATAGCTTTAATATAACAATATTTTCTAAAAATTTTATATATGTTCTGATATATTATTATTTAAATAATATAACCTTTTTATAATGACTTTTAATACTAGGTTTTATTAATAAAATAATATTTATGTTTTTTTACATAGTGGAGAAGTAAAAATTTTATCATTATATCAAGTTTTAAAAATATATTGGTATATCAAATATCAATATGCTAAGCAGTTGAAAAAATTGTACACTATTAATATCTTTTTGGTTGTTTGCAAGCATCAATTTAATACTTAAAATTGCATTTCTAAAAATCTCAATAACTTTTATATTACAAAAAACTTATTGCTAATTATTATAATTATTAGAATATTTAATAATATAATATTATTTATATTATTTAAATTATTTATTTATTTTATATAAAAATTTTCATCTTGTTTATCATTTAAAATTAAAGAAGATTATTAAGTAATATAACATTATAAAAAATAACATTATATATCATTTATAACCTTTAGGTTCGTACCATTTAATAACCAAAAAATAATTGTTTATAATTAATTTATTGAACCAATTATAAATAATTTAAGAAATAAAGAGAAAAAAGCATTCACATCCTATCTATACTTAATAGGTAAATTTGACACATATTTTATACTATTTAGATGACTTGCACTTCATTAATCACATGTCATTTTAAATTCAAATCGTTAATATCCATATTTTTAAACAAATTTCTGACTGACTCCAACAATTCACATAGCGCAACATTCGGGAAATACTCCGCCGTGTTAGATAGTTATCGGATGTCAATGCTTAAAATTTTAATGTTTCTTTGTTTCTTAATTTATTTGACAAATAAAATCGGGGATTCTATAAATTTTTTGTCCGGAATTGTCACTTTTTGGCGCGCACCGTGCAATCCTGGATCTTGACGCATGTAACATTATAACGGTTGAACTAATTTCTATTACAAGTAAAAATTTTTTACAGACTTTATCACGATATATGATAGAAAATTACTAAATATATTAGCTAATCTATGAACTAACCATAATTCGTTGGCTAAAATATCCTGGGGTAATTATATCAAAAAATATCGTTTTTTCTTGCTTTCTACTTATCTAGCGTGATAATTTATGCGGTGATATTTAAAGTTTATTTGTTTATGCAACTTGACATCATTGTATACATGATGTCATCGTGTGTGTCCATCCGTAATTTAAGATTTAATTAGACTAGCCAATAACTGATAACGAATAATCTCTAAATTAAAACGATTAACTGCGCCATAAATTATATAATTCCTTTTTTTTTTTTGTACTGTATATCTCATATGAGAAAAAACGAGGGGCACTGACAAGAAATAATGATAAATTTGTAATAAAAAATTAAATACAAGTAAAAGAAGATATGTTCGTATTTCATTACAATTTTTATGCCGTTCGCATACTATTTTGAAGTGAAATATTTTAATAAGTTCACTTTATCACCAATTGTTTTTAGTTTCCGTGATAATAATTAAGCCTCGACACGAAATGGGAACCACAGAAAATTCTGAAGATGTTGGTAACTCCGAAGAAAAAAATATATTTATCCAACCTACAACTACTCAAGAATCTTCATTGCAAATACAAAATTTTTCACATTTTCAACCACAGACGTCTATACCTCCCGGGTCAAGCAACTCTAGTTCAACGACTGACGAATATATAAGATTTGGCTCCTGTATTGCTTTACAGCATAGTACCACATCAAGACATTTATCGAGTAGATCGCCTGATAATAAAGAATCGTCAAAGGGAAACAAAGACCAGGTTTGTTTGAAAGCCAAGAACATAATTAGTACTTAATTCAAAGAATTCAAAGGTCTGAATTGAAAAAAATCAAATTGCTTTAAATAGCTATAAATTATATAAATATCACGTCATTTTGTGAATTGAATGCCATTGTTAGGGTATTGAAAAGAACCTTGAAAATATAAAATTTGTTGCACATTGCGATCCCATTAAATTGTAGTCGCGATTTGAAAAGAGTTGATTACCTTACTCATGAGCTGATTCGTCATATCAAATATATCAAATGCAAATTATTATCATATTCTAAGATTGTTGATTTTATTGAATAAAGAAATAATAAATTTTATATTATTTTGAATAATAATAAATTCTCTTCTCTTCATCTTGACAGGTATTTGCAACTCGGCGGAAATCAGAAAACGAACTATGGATGGTGTTACAAGCCTATGGCGAACGACGTCGTCTAAAAAAGGGTGATGCTGTTCCATATAATGCCCAAATTCGACTTGGCCATATTGTATCACGGCGTAATCTACGCTCACATCCGGACTATATCTCTCCCATAAGCAATCAACAAGAAGGTAAAGCAACATATTATTTTAATTATTAATTAATTTATTTTAAGAGTATAATATATAATTACATATTTCAGTTATTTGTCACGACGAAAATACCAGTGATTTGAATGATAACTGGTTAGTTCAGAGACATAGTTATACCAATCATTATGATAATTCTGGATACTGGCTGGCTGACGACGCGATTACATTAAGGCACATTCAAACCGGGGCGACCCTGCACAGCCATAGCATAATGTTAGACAATGACGATAATCAAGAAGTTACGTGTTATGGGCCAGGACATGAGGAAAACGACAAGGTAAGATACTATTATTCAGGATTATTTCGTAATTGTTTTATTAAATATATACATTTTTCTTATAATAAATTAGTGGAAGGCCGAACATAATGATATAAATGATTTTATTAGAAGTTCATAGAATAAAAAAAAAATTTTTTTTTTATTGCTTTTCTCAGTTGGTTTTTTAGTGAAGAGAAAATTTTTTTGTAAATTCTGAACATCACTATGTATTTATTACAGAAAGATTGCATGTTGAGGCCTTAATAGGAGAATATGTGATACTATAACTTTGTAAAACAAAGTTGCCCCTTTTCTTATTCTTAAATATTGTTGGTAATACGACATCCGAAAGCGAGGAAATCTGAAAGTTTTCACGTTAAAACCAGAATTTTCTCGAAGTTTACTTTATTAGAATATCATTATACATTTACTTGATTTCCTTATCTCTTTTCAAGAATATTATTGTAGCAACAATCGCATTATCGTGGTACAAAAACTCCGAGTTATAGATAGAGATAAAATACAATAATAAAAATTTACGATTTAAAACGGTTACACTTTTCACAAGCCACTTTACCGCTTTCACGAATATATTCCGATTTTATAGTTTACACGTGTTTCTTCCAGGTGGGCGTAGATCTTAAATGTGCGCCAGGATTTAATTGGATAAAAAATTATTACAATCGTTTTTTAGTCGTTTTTTTTTGTGCGCGAAATGATGAATTAAATAATTTATTTTTTCAAATAATAAATGACTTACCAGTATACCACAAATACTAAATTAATAATCGTATAATATTACTCCTACCCTTTCTATCATATCTTGCTTCATTTCGTGACGGGCACTCGAAGAAATATCTCTGAGTGTGGAACGCTAACTTTATTTTATCAAAAAAAAAAAAAACGGCTAATCCTAATTCATGTTTGTCAAACTTTGCAGCACGTGACAATTTTAGATTATTTAGATTTTGCCATTTTTTTTTTTTGAAAAGCATAAAAATGTCAATTCAACGTCGTAAGAAACATAATAGATCTAATGAACGTCGTAAGCTTAAACGCGAAGAAGCATTAAAAGAGTTGGAGGTTTTGGAAAAGAATTGCCAAAATCTGGTAATTCCCAATAATTTTTTTAAATAATGCTACACTAAACTTTCCAAACAATCAACTTCTGTATTCGCGATCTTATAAGTTTAACGCGTTTTCTTTTAGCCATTAAATTTAGAATATGAAAGTTTTAAGGAATTGCCTTTATCACTTTTGACCCAACAGGGTCTACAGCAATCCAATTACATTGAAATGACGAAAATTCAACGTAAAGCTATACCTCTTGCTTTACGTGGTCGTGATGTTTTGGGTGCCGCTAAAACTGGAAGTGGCAAGACGTTAGCTTTTCTTATTCCAGTAAAGTTACAAATTTTATAATATTTCTGTCGATTGATATTGATTAATTAGCATAATATTAATCAACTATTATAGGTAATTGAATCATTATACAGGAAAAGTTGGACACAGTTGGATGGATTAGGTGCTTTAGTTATAGCACCAACGAGAGAATTGGTAGTGTTAAGTATTTGATTATTTAGCTCATTAAAGAAGATATAATTGATTTTTCTTTTTCGATAGGCTATTCAAATTTTCGAGGTTCTCCGTAAAATAGGAAGAAAGCATTCTTTGTCAGCTGGTCTTGTGATAGGTGGTAAAAACGTAGACGTAGAACAGGAACGTATAAATAGAATGAACATTCTTATTTGTACTCCTGGACGTTTGTTACAACATATGGACCAAACTGCAAACTTTAAATGTGATAACATTCAAGTATTAGGTTAGTAATTATTTTGTTGTAGCCCTTCAAGTTCATTTGTACATAACAATTTTAAATTATTAAGTTCTTGATGAGGCGGATCGTATACTTGATTTGGGGTTTGAAAAGACTATAAATGCCATAATTGAAAATTTGCCAAAAGAACGTCAGACTTTGATGTTTTCTGCTACTCAAACAAAGTCTGTTAAAGATTTGGCACGATTAAGTCTTGAGGTATATGTTATTTTTATAAATAAATTTCAATTAAAAGCATCTCAAATTTTATATTAAATTTTATATAAGGATCCCGAGTATGTTTCTATAATTGAAGATTCGGAACATAGCACACCGATTAGTTTATCACAGCATTATTTAGTTTGCGAGTTACCGCAGAAACTGGATATTTTATTTTCATTTATTAAGTCGCATTTACAAGCGAAGGTTCTTGTATTCTTATCCAGCTGCAAACAGGTAAAAAAATTTTCACTATATTATTTATTTTTTATTTATTATTAAGTAAATTTTCTTAATTATCTTAGGTTCGATTTGTATTTGAAACTTTCTGTAAATTACATCCAGGAGCTCCGTTACTTCACTTGCATGGCAAGCAAAAGCAAACCAAACGATTAGAAATTTTTAATAAATTTTCTTCTATGAAACATGCTTATCTGTTTGCTACTGATATTGCAGCGAGAGGTTTAGATTTTCCTGCTGTTGATTGGGTAGTGCAGGTAGATGCTCCAGAAAATGCAGAGACATATATTCATAGAGTTGGACGAACGGCAAGATATGATGCTTCAGGTCATGCTCTATTATTTTTATTAACAAGCGAAGAACAAGGGATGAAAGCAGCTTTGGATAAAAAAAAAGTGCCAATTGATAAAATTAAAGTAAAATCCAGTAAGACAATCAGCATCCAAAAACAATTGCAATCATTATGTTTTAAGGATCCTGAAATTAAATATCTCGGACAAAAAGTATGTTTTTTTATTATTAAACATTATACGTATACATATAATAAATTTTTTTTTTTTTTTTATTGTTAGGCATTTGTATCATATATACGATCGATATATCTTCAAAGTGATAAATCTATATTTAAAGTAGATGAATTACCTATAGAGGAATTCGCTGCTACTCTTGGATTACCTGGTACTCCTAAAATTAAATTCGTTAAGGTTTGTAATTAATAATAATAATCTATTATAATAACCTTTAGTGTTCTTAAGTTTTAATTATCTCTTTACTTAGAAGGCACAATCTAAAAATGCCACTCGTCAGAAACCAAAAAAAGTTCCTGGATACTCATCATCTGATGAAGATGAAGGGAATTCTGTTAAGATTCTTGAAATGAATAGTAACACTTTACCTAATTTAGATGTACAAGAAAAAAAGAGAAAGGAAGCTAACCCGAAATCTAAGCTGGATAAAATGTTCAATCGTAAAAATATGTCTGTCCTTACAGATCATTATAAAAAATTGGTCGATCAAGAAGCAGACAATATTACGAGCGAAGAAGAGTTGATTACCCTTAAACGTGCTAACCACGAATTATCAGATGAACTTAAACAACCGGTATTCTTTTATGCTGTATATTCAATTATAAGTTCAATAAACTAAAGACATTTGTTTAGGGCCGTGATCCGTTATCAAAACGTAAGCTCATGAAAGCTACGTCAAAAAAATTTATTATTAAGAATGCGCCTAGAGGAAAAAGATTAATATTCGACGATGATGGAAATGTAAGAATTTAACATAAAATCATTTTTTTAATATCGCTATATTCTATAATTTATTAACTATTCAATCGTTTGTATTAGCCTCACCAAGTATATGAATTTCAAGATGAAAAAGCTTTTCGTTCTGCAGGAGATATAGCGTCTCAAAAGAAAGAATTTATAGAGAAAGAATTTGAAGTCATGAAGAAAGAAGATATTACAGATAAAATTATTGCAAGAGATAAGAGGCAAGAGAAAAAAATTAAGAAGAAGGTTAAATTAAAAGAAGAATTGGAGGAAAATATGAAATCTGTAGTTACCTTATCAACAACTTTACCTATGTATAAAGAATTTCATGAAGATGAACTAAATAAAAATGCTGAAAGAGACTTTGAGGAATCATCAGATGAAGAGTACGAGAGATTAAGTAATAAGAGACAGGCTGCTTCTCTGCCAGATCACACTGATTTAAATGGTGGCGAGGCTCTAATTAATAAGAAACGAAAACTACTGGAAATTGAAGAACCAAAAACTTTAGAGGATCAAGAAGCATTAGCATTAAAATTATTGAATCGTTTATAATACATTAAAATATAAATTTTGCTTTTTTATTTAAATAATATTCATCAATCGACCAGCAACTTTTCTACAATATTACAATATTTCAATATACATTTCAATTAAAAATTGTCGGAATTATCTAGGTATCTCTTGGATGGTTTTACCACCACCATAAAAATTTAAGATCTTTGCTTAATAGTGTATTATGTACTAACTAATTACCTAATATTATTCATAAACATTCACTCGAGCAATAAATAAGTAAATGAATTTAGACCCTTATTTTTCATTTATTGAGATTTAAAGATACCAATATTCTTATAAAATCGATTTTTGTCTTCAGCTTCCTGATTCTCCAATCGTTTATTAAATTCTTTTATTTATTTCTGATCACTTTTGTGAATAAAAGAGTCTGTAGGGTGAAAAAGCTATCAATTTCTCTTCTTTCAGTCCCTCTCAATATCTCTTTCTTTTGTTGCTAATTTTAATTTTATTCTTCTATTTATATTGGTACTTCTTTTGATGCGATCTTCCCATGTGGATTTACTAATGATTTACTGGTAATCATTTAGATTTTTTAGTATTTCTTTTATTTCTTTTGCAACATATGGGAGAATCCGAACGAGTTATAAAGAAAACTGCCCGAGAACCATATCATGAACGTCAAAGTTTGTGGTTCTGTGGCCAGGTAAATTTTCATATATAATTTCGGTAAAAAGAACTATTTATAAAGTATTAATCTTTAACTTAATAAATAGCATACACTAAATAATCTAGTAAGTATCATAGTAAGTTCATATATTAGTACTTTTTCTGCTTAATAATTTATGTTATACATAGCTCCAAGGTGATGTTTTCACAAGGGAACAACTTGAAAATATCGCTCTAAAGTTGGCCAAACAAGGAGGTCTGACATGGCGCTCTTATATTTTTAATCCACACAAAAGTATTTTGTAAGTTTATTTTCTAAATGATTATATGTGATTATCATATTTTTATATACATTTTGGTACTTTCTTTTTGAACATTATTAGCGGAGCGGGTAATTATGATATTAATGTTTTGGAGAAAGCTTTAATGAATGAAAATTTAGAAGTACAATGGTTCGATGTTAGAAAAGGTATCTCAACTAGAAAAATTATATATTTTCCTTTCAACCTATTTATGATTATCACTTATTGTATGAAGTGAGTGCGACAAACGACAAGTAAAAAAATCTTTTTGTTTCACGCCCATAAAATCGAGGAATGGAATATTAATTATTCAGTTATTTGAAATAGTCTTCTAATAATTTTAATTTAGATATTCGATCCGTTATTCAATTCACCGATGAAACGCTTTTTGGACTTATTCTGAATGTTCCAACTTTACGTTTTTACCTTTGGACATCTTATCATTGGATTGCCATTAAACCCTTTTTTATTGATAACAAGCTTACTGGAGTTTACAATTTGGATTCGAAACTAAGCAGGGCCGAAAAATTTGAGAACGTGGAAGAGGTGAGAACATAATTATTGCTCACGTAATAATTGTTAAAAATATGTATGTTTATTCAATTTATATACTTATGTTTAGGTTTATAAGTTCCTTGAATCTGTCGTATATCAAAATGGGAATATTCTACTTGTAAAAAAGATGGGGAAGATATTAAATAATGGCTTTTAGTCTGTTAAATATTAAGGAAGTCGTAGTTTTTGCATAGATTGATCAGATTAATTACATTATTACGTGACTTATGTGACACGGTCAATTTTCCAGCGCAACTCGCAGTCTATATGAAAGTTGTAATCGAATATGCAATAAACAAATGCGCAGTAACGTTAGACATCATGTATTCTGGTTGCATATAATTTATATTTAAAGCTTTTTACGTATAATAAAAAAGCGGATCTGTTGATCAGATTTTTGCGATGCGATCATATTAACGTAATTTTCCCAAAGTGTATTACAAGATCGATTCTGGGAATTAATGTCCTTGTTAGTGAATCCTTTATCTATCTTATGCAAGTAAAACAAAATCAAATGAAAATTTCAAAACCGATCAAACTTACCATTATTTACATCACCGATAACAACAATCAAACGAATGAGTACAATCCGCAAAGTAATAATAAGGTATGTTTGTTTATTGCTCGGTTTGCTTCTTGGAATATGTCATCATGATGTTAACTGATTTCCCACCTCTATAGATGTAAAATAAAACGGACATATTATATATGTCAGCATTTTGATCTAGTGTTCCGCAAATTTTGGATCAATCCGAACAAGAAAAATAGAGAATGGAGTATACATGAAACCGAAATTGGTTAATTTCGACCTCCGAAATGGTCAAAATGGTCAAAATGATTTCGACTTGGGCCCCTCCAAAAGTTGAAATGGTCGAAATTATGTTATAGTCATGTGATTTTATAGTAAACAATAATATTAAAATTCAAAGTTAATGAACTCCGCATCCAGTGATTCGATTTTTATGATCTTTACGTGGTTGGATTCAGCTCATCGAGAGGATTCCAATGATATGTATATCATGTTTCTGTTGTATAGATCTATATTCTCACATTTTTAATAAATTTAACAAGCATTTTGATTGTGTGTATAAGATTCCCGTCCCTACTATTATTTACATCGCTGAAAGCTTCAAAATTCCATTGTTTACAAGTGTAAGATCATCCTTGATGATTGCAGATAAAATATTTTCACTTATTTCAACTCTCTTGATCACTTGAATTTTGGTTGTTCTAAATACATACAATCAAGCTTTACTGTTAATATTTAATTTATATATTTAGAATATTGATCGTGCTTGTTACCTTCGTTACTTTTTTCAGATGATATAATAAGAGTTTTTTTGCTTCTGGTTCTAACTATAAAAAAGACAAATGATTTAAGTAAATAATTTGAGTAAATCATATTATAATAAAATTAATATACTACTTTTCTTAATAGCCTTTTCAATCATTTTTGATTTTTAAATTTGCATAAAATACTAGGAAGAAATTAATAATTGATTTTTGAATTTGCATAAAGTACTGAGAAGAAATTAGAATAAAAGTATGAGTTTATATATGGCAGATATCTAATGAATCAAATCATATTAATCATTACTTAATATTACTCAATTTTTGGTCAAATAGCGTACATAGTTAAACTACTCCAGTGAAAATTTAGTGATCACATGACCAATTTTGTTGATCATTCCCAAAAATGGTAAGCAGATTTAATGAAAAAAATTATTGTTTTTTTTTTGAATAAAACTTACTACAGAGTACAGATATTTTCTAATTTTAAATTTATATGCTATATCGTTTTTTAAATACAGGTTTTTGTAAAATTAATTATTTACAAATTATTATATAAAAAGTCAAAATTTATATTTAAAATGTATTTTTCTTGTTTAGGTAAATTTGTAAAGCATTTAAAAATACACATACCATGTAAGTTTAAAAAATGTATGGATTTATATTATATTTTATTCTTATTATTTATTTTTTCATTAAATTTGCTTACCATTTTTAGGAATGATCAACAAAATTGGTCACGTGATCGCTAAATTTTTATCGGTGCTGCAAATATATTATTTTTATACAATCAGATAGGACCTGCCTACTATTAAAATAAGTCACCCTGTAGCTTAAGATAAGGTTTACATATAAAACTCTTTGAAGATCTTACTATAAAAGGAAATTTTATACACTGGTCAAAAACCAATATATCGGGTAGCAGATATGTATCAGATATATACCCAATATGTGTAGTATTAATGCAGAAAATCAGGTACCCGATATGTGTAAGATATGTGTAAATATATTGCCAAAAGTATCTGGCACTTCTAAAAAATGACCATTAAATCACATTATTTTGACATCCAGTGATCAGAATTTAATGATTTATGATTCATTGGATTCGTCTAATTGAGACGCATCTAACTGCAGTATTTTCAAGTCTGTAAGTTCAATATATCAGAAGTTATCATTGAATGTCTAAAAACAGTAAAATGCAAATAACTTTTGATCCATCAATCCTAGAGACATGAAAATAATAGATACAATGTACCTTAACAAGACAAATCTAATGAGTTATATTTCATCTTACTAGGTTTAATAGGGAAGAAAACGTTATGAAATTTGTATTTGCTAAATTTTTAAAGATGAAAAATGAATTATTTGCATTTTACTGTTGAGAATAACATCTGATTCATCAAATTTAGAGACAGAAAAATACTTCAATTTGATGCATCTTGATAATATGAATTCATTAAATCATAAATAATTAAATTCTGATCACTGGTTATTGAAATAATGTGATTTAACTTTATGAAGTAATTTATTTTTCGTCTTTAAAAATTTAGCAAATACAAATTTTATAACGTTTTCTTCCCTATTAAACCTAGTAAGATGAAATATAACTCATTAGATTTGTCTTGTTAAGGTACATTGTATCTATTATTTTCATGTCTCTAGGATTGATGGATCAAAAGTTATTTGCATTTTACTGTTTTTAGACATTCAATGATAACTTCTGATATATTGAACTTACAGACTTGAAAATACTGCAGTTAGATGCGTCTCAATTAGACGAATCCAATGAATCATAAATCATTAAATTCTGATCACTGGATGTCAAAATAATGTGATTTAATGGTCATTTTTTAGAAGTGCCAGATACTTTTGGCAATATATTTACACATATCTTACACATATCGGGTACCTGATTTTCTGCATTAATACTACACATATTGGGTATATATCTGATACATATCTGCTACCCGATATATTGGTTTTTGACCAGTTCCCCAACTCATTTAATATTTCCTCCTTTAATGTTAATGGCCTTAAAATGTATGGTCAGACTAAATTAGAAGAAATTTCCTCTTTCTTTTCCTTAAAACATATTTCCTTTGGTGGTATCGTTGATACTCATCTCCACCCTAAACAAATGAAGTTTTTATCCAAACGTCTTTCTAATTATACTGTGTTTTCCTCGAATTTGGATACTTCTAAACAAATTCTTTCTTCTGGTGGTGTTTCCCTNTTCTCTTGCATCACATGTACAAGATTTTAAATCCCATTCTTCACGACTGCTTTCTGTTGATTTATATTTCAAAGGCAATGTTAAATTGCGTATATTTGTTATTTATATCCCTCCTCCTGCTGAAAGTGTTCTGCGCACTGACACTATCGATTTGCTTATTCAACAACTTATCCTTACTAAACAAGCTGGTTTTTATCACGCTGTTTGTGGCGATTTTAACATGCATTTAGATAAATATTATCCTATTTATTTTAATCAACCCCAAATTGCTTCAAAACATATACACCGATTACTTTTTCATCTCCTTTCTCACGGTTATGAAGATTTTACACCCATTAATCTTTCCGACTCTTTAGGTACCTTTCAACGCAATGACCACATTACTCGTGTTGATTATGTATGGTCCTGCCCTCTTCTCAAAGGATTTGCTCTTACTGCTTGTATTTTTAATGCTCAAGACATCTGCACATCTGATCACAACCCTGTCATCACATATTATGATATGTCTTTACTTTTTGCCTCTACCAAATTGGCTCGCGCTCGTCAACTTAAGCGCCAAACCCGTCGCGTTTTCAAATTTGATTCTGTAACTGATACTCAATGGACGGAATTTGCTGACAAAGCTGATGCCTTATGTGATGTTTCACCATCAACCTTTTCCTCCTGGCATATCAATCAGATGTGCGAATATCTTCAATCGCGAATCCTTAAATCCGCCAACGCTACTTTACCTTCTTCTACTGTTGGCAATAATTATACTCCTAAGGTTCCTAAAGATCTGGAAATTTTAACTCAAAATTATCGGTTTTTAAATCGCCTAATGCATTCGATACGTCTATTGCGCAAATATCCTTTAACTTATTCTGCTGCTCATGAACATAAGTGGTCTATACATTTGCATCGACTTCAAAACATTCTTCAATTATATAAGAAAGTTTTTACTTTCATTCCTACTCTGCCCTTTTCTCTTTCATCATGTCGACAAGATAATTTCAAGTCACTTCTTGATGATTTATCCAATATTTCAAAATCCTTACGGGGATTTCATTTACTTCAAGAAAAAGAATTCCAAGACTCCTCCATCCGTGCTCACTTGGACGATAGGAATAATAATTTTGAAACTGACCTTTCCTCCTTTATTGATTCAGCGCTTTCTCGCACCCGTCGCCGTATCACTTTGGACCGTGTCTTCATCGACCATCCTTCTCAACCTCAGTTGTTAACTGCTCCTAAGGACATAGATGATGCTGTTGTTAACCATTTCCAAAACTTTGTACCTATAAAGTCCACTCCTCCTGTATCTATTGATACACTACCTGATAGATGGTCTTCTGCCTATCAACCTATGGATGATGTGTCCTCCTCCATCTATGATTCTTTAATGAATCCCCCTACCCTTGATGAATGGTTATCCACCGTTTCTTCTACTCCTAACGGTAAAGCCTCTGGTCCTTCCATGATTACCTATGAAATGCTCAAACATCTCGGATCTCGTACCTCGGCTTTACTCCTCATTTTGATTCAAGCATGCCTTTCCAAAGCTGATATTCCTGACTTATGGCGACAAGCAATGGTTTTTCCCATTCCCAAACCTCACGAATGGAAGTGTCAATTAAAAAATACTCGCCCTATTACCCTACTTGAAGTGATTAGGAAATCTCTTGTCAAACTTTTTTATAATCGCCTTTCTACCATCATGGCTTCACATGATGTCCTTAAAGGTGGTAACTTCGCTGGTCTTCCTGGAGGTTCTTGCCGCGACCCTATTATTACTTTAGAATCTATTATCCATGATGCTGATATCAACAAAAACCCGCTTTGGATTCTTTCCCAAGATATTTTTAAAGCTTTTGATTCAGTTGATCTAACGATGTTACGTTTCGCTTTAGAACGTATACGTCTTCCAGCCTCCGCTGTTAAGTTCATCCTTTCAC